CCCTAAACCCTAATCCCCAGTCCCTCAGCAATCGATAGCTCTGCCCAAAGCCCAAAAAACACCAGACGAGCATCGAAAATTAGCTAGGATGATAATAGGAATAATGCCAGTAATAATACTAATAGTGGAATTGTAATGATGGTAATAATGGTAGTAGTGGCAATAATGGTAATAATAGTCCTTATCTTGATCCTGCCTCGCTGCTGCAGGTGGGCCTCACCAAGGAGCAGTAAACAGGCCTGGCCACCAAGCACGTACTACCATTATTAGCACTCTCATTATTCATACTATTCTTAGCAGAAATGCAGACCCCCGATTAAAAAACCTCCTTTTAAGGGCCTTAACATTAGGAGGGCAGGGGGCTTATTAATCATGGGTCTACGTCATTATTACTATGATTGTTGTTATTGCTGAAGTAATTGGTTTGTCAACTAAACTTTGCCAGAAGATCAGCTTTGGCTCCGTCTGAGTCCGCAGCAAGTGTAGGTATGTCTAGTGAGTCTAGTGGGCTGCAGGTGGTCAAAGAGACCGCAGGAGATGCCAAAGTGGTAAAACGGGATGCGTGGAGTTTTGAACTCGCACATATGATGTCATGATGTTGGGCAGTGGACCTTGTGCGAGAAATGTAATCGAATGAGTTGCCTTGAAGCTCTTGCAGAAGCTCGTGTAAAGGGACGCAGCAATTGCAGGTCAAAAGTCTGGCGAAGCTTCGTTCCGTTCTTCAAGCCGATCCCCTCGCCCCAGCACAGCGCAAGCCAGCAGCCTTGAACATTCATCTAAGCAGCCAACCTCAGCCCTGATTGCCCCAGCCAAACCCCGCCTGACGCACACTGTCCAGCAGCAAACCAGCGTCTCTGAGGGCTCGAAAATGCTTTCCAGCCGACTCACAATCCCAAGACAGCAAAACTGGAGATCGGCGCGATCTGGCGCAGCAGTCTATCCAAGCCCACGCTAAACCAGAAAACCAAACACAAACAGAAAAGGCGCATCCCTACAGAAACCCCTAGGCCCAACTCCAACACTCCGAAATACAAAGTCAGGCTGCCAACTGACTGCAGTAATTTCCATTTTCTTTTCCATTATCCCTATATAACCCCAACATACCATAGTAGCTTCCATTTTTCCATTATCCCTATATAACCCCAACCCTAAACCCTATAAACCCTAAGTAGTAGTTTCCATTTTGTTTTCCATTATCCCTATATACCTGTGCCTGTGGCCAGCAACGATGACCCAGGGTTGCTGAGCACGTGCCTCCGATGTGTCAGGCGGCGACTAGAAGACGCATGTATGAGCTAAGGTCCAAAACTCCGAGCATCCCCCGTAATAAGGGTTTAGGATTTAGGGTTTGGGAGTTTGGGTTTGGGGTCTAAACTCCTAGTATCCCCCTTAATAAGCCCTATATAACTCCTCCATATACTCCCCTATACAACCCCTTTGAGGAGTTTAGGCTGTAGCTCACATGTTCTGCTCTCAGCAAAGCCCGGAAGCCCAGGTAGGAACCTTGCTGACACTAGCTCCAGGTTCTAGCCAGAAGTATGGCAGAAGAACAGTCCGCATGGAACACTGAAATACATGCTGTCAAGACCTTTGCACCTGCCTCCGCAGTGTTTGCTTTTTTGAGCTCATCCTCCAGCCAGAGGAGTTGTCGCTGGGCCTCACTGGTCTTCATGATGACAATGGCAACGGCAAGAAAGCTGGTGGTGGCAGCAGAGGTGACGATGGTGGCGGTGGTGGCCGCAGTGCTAGGAGCATATGAGGCATAGCCACAGCATCAGCAGTCAGTCACAAATGATACTTTCATAAATGCTGCCTAAATGCCGCTATGCATTCATGCAGAGCCAGTCAACTATCTTGCATGTTTGTTTCATGCCGTCTTCGCGCAACCCAACAAAAGTCTCCAGGACCACATATTGGGATTACGGAGGGGATATAATCGGGAGTTTCCGCCTCCCCAATTATGAAGAATCAAATGGATAGGACAAAGGAAAATGAAATGGAAACTGGATTATAGTCCCCCTCAAGTAGATAGAAGATGGCGTTGGGTATATTACAATAAGATCCCCATATACCCCGTATTCTATCTAATTAAGGGGGACTATACATACGGGAGGAATCCTGCTGGAGCCTGCAAACCTGCAAGCTCGAGCTGAAGAGGATCCAATTGAGCCATAGTCTAAACTCCTAGTAACCCCCTTCATAAGCCCTATAATACTCCTCCAAAGAATCCTTTGGATGACCCCCTAAACCCTCTATATATGTATATATAATCCCCTATATAGTCCCCTACATAATCCCCTATATAACCCCCCTTTGAGGAGGTGAGACTATAGCTCAATTGCGCCTAGCAGGTCTCCCAGGCTTCGAGGCACGGGCAACGGAGGTGCGCTGGCGCCTTAGGGAATGAAAGAATGGGAAAGGTTTGGGGTTTAGGGGTTTTGGGTGGTGGGAACAAGGAAGCCACCATGTCCTTGGGGGATTATGTAGGGATTATATGGGAGAAATAGAGGATACATAAGGATCTTTTAAGGATTATATACGGATTCAGGATATACAGTGATTATGTAGAGATTATATAGGGATACATAGGGGAATAGAAAAGAAAATGGAAAGTACTTCAAAGGAGAATTCAATGGACAAGAATACTCAACCGTAAACCCTAGACCTTAAACCGTGATTGATGGGGCCCTAAACCCTAGGATTGTGTAGGGACTACAGAGATCCCTTTCTCCATTTCCTGCTTGCCAACAACCAGCATGAGAAAGGTAAGGGAAGGCAGGGGGCCTACCTTTTAAGGTGTAGGGTTTAGGGTGCCAGGAGAAGGAAGTTGTCAAGGTTTCTGCTCCTTGTTTTGCTGGCTCGTTATAGGGAATGTGGGAATGAATGATCTAGGGATTATGTAGGGGTTATGTAGGGAGTATATACGGATTCTATAAAAATTGTATAGTAATTAAATGGGGATTGCATAGGGATTACATTCTCGTATTCCCTACTAACAACCAGCAAGTTGTTGTGGCAAGCGCGCTTTGGAGTTTAAAGTCTCTGCTCCTGCTCCGTTCACAACCGTCTTGCTGCAGACCCTGTCAACCACACCGAGTCCATGTTTGCCTGAGCCTGGCACCTGCAGCCTCCGTGCAGCATACCACTACGAGGAATGAAGTACCCAGTAGCTAGTCACTAGTGGCCGCACAAACGCTGCTGCGAGCCTCCTCTACGGCTTGCGTCATCGATTTACGAATTCTTTGACTACTTTCCTCCCTGACCAAACCCAAAGCCCTGTCCTTTCTATTCTCGAGAAAAAACTAACGAATTGAAATGTGCGACTGATCTTGCATTCCCAATTGCTGTCTTCGCTCCCCCAAAGCCAACCACACATTACTGCTTTTACCTTGGCCTCCCTTAATTCACCAGGAAAGGCAACCATGAAGGTGTTTCCTAAATCTGGGGTAAGAAATCAGCTGACAATTTTTTCACGCGCCTGACGGCATGACATAAGCCCCGACAATGGACCCGGAAACTTGATCAACTCACCAAAAAAACTTTCTGGCCTTAGTAGGGAATAAGGGAATATAATTCCCTGTATGATCCCTCTAGAATTCCTTCCCATAATTTTTGGGTACTGCCCCCCCTCACTAACAGTCGGATAATAATTAACTATAATATGGTTATATACAGCCCTTAATAGGACCCCTAATATAGACTGTTACTGGGGTGGGGCAGTACCCAAGCTAAGAACCAGTAAGACAACAAAGCAAGCCGCCAGTCTTGTGAAGCATCTCCCAGATCGATCAGTGCTTCGGTCCAGAGCCTGAGAGCTTCTCAAAAGACTCCCTAAACCCTAAACCC